CCCCGGATCCTGCACGGGATTCTCCAGGTGGGACAGCATTTCGGGAATTTCGGGAATTTCGGGRATTTCCTTCCCTGTTTTGCCCAATTCCGGCTTTTCCAATGATCAGAATTTCGTGGGATCCCACGGAAAGGTCCTGGCGCTGCTCCCGAAATCCCCATTCCCTACAACCCCACTTTTTTCCCCACAAATCCATATTTTTTTCCCCACAAATCCTTTTTTCCCTACAATTCCACTCTTTTTCCCCTCCAACCCCACTTTTTTCCCCACAAATCCATATTTTTTCCCCTCCAGCCCCATTTTCCCCCCGCAATTCCCGTTTTCCCGGCGCTGTCCCGATGGCTCCGTCCCCCCTGGCTCCCCCCCGCCCCGTCCCGCTCGTTAATCCCGGGATTAACTCGGGATTCTGCACCGTCAGGATTTTCCGGGACGGGGCCGAGCGGCGCTGCCGGGATTGAGCCCGGGATCCCCCGGGAGCGGCTCCGGAACGGGGTTTGTCGGGGATTTGGGGGAAAACGGGGGGAAAAAGGGGATATTCCCTGAAAATGGGGAAAAAATAGGGGATATTCCCTAAAAATAGGGGATATTCCTTAAAAACGGGGGGAAAATAGGGAATATTTCCTGAAAATAGGGGATATTCCAAAAAACAGGGGGGGGAAATAGAGGATATTCACTAAAAATGGGGAAAAAATAGGGGATATTCCCTGAAAACGGGGGAAAATAGGGAATATTCCCTGAAAATAGGGGATATTCCCAAAAAAAACAGGGGGGAAATAGAGGATATTCGCTAAAAATGGGGAAAAAATAGGGGATATTCCCTGAAAACGGGGGAAAATAGGGGATATTCCCTGAAAATAGGGGATATTCCCAAAAAACAGGGGGGAAATAAGGGATATTCCCTGAAAATGGAAGAAAAAATGGGGGATATTCCCTAAAAATAGGGGATATTCCCTAAAATGGGAGGATAATAACAGAGTATTCCCAAAAAATGGGGGATGATGAGGGAATTTTCCCTAAAAATAAGGAATATGGGAATATTTTCTAAAAATGAGGGATGGTAAGGGAGTATTCCCTAAAAATAGGGGATAAGGGAATATTTTCTAAAAATAGGGGATAAAGGAATAAAAAATCTGGGAAAAATGGGGGAGTGTTCCCTGAAAGGCCGGGATGCCACGGGATGGGAGCTTTGGGAGGTGACGCCAGGGTTGAAGGGGAAWTGGGATTTTCCATCCCTCGGGGCCTCGCTGATGTCGCTGTGATGATTTTTTAGGACGGATTCTCCGCGCTCTCCCGGGATTTTTCCGTCTCTTTGGCACCGGGGAGGGCGAATTCCGGCCCCAAAAGGCCCCTGGGGTGTCCTAACCCGGGATAAACCCATCCCTACCCCCTCATGTTTTATAAAAAAAGGATTTGATGGAATTTTTTCCCAGAATTCTGTGAAAATCTCAGGATTTTTCCCTTCCTGATTTGCCGGGGGTGGTCCCAAAGCTCCTCCATCCCTTTTTTTATCCCACCGAGGCGATTCCCGAGGTTGGACACATTCACGGCACCAAAAATCCCCAATTTTGCCTCATTTCTCCTCACTCCTGGAAAATCCAGCCGAGATCTGAAATCTGAACTTGGGAGTTCACCACCAAAACCAGGAAAACCCCAAATTCCTTCCCCCTCCTGCCAAAATCTCC